TTTTTTTTTTGCATTTTTGGAAAGCACTATCCTTCTCGAGTAAAATGGCGTTTGGTTTATGTTAAAATTCACATTATTAAGGATTTGACGGCCAAAAAGCTCGAGCGCGCCATAAAATGTTTGTCCGCACATGCATGTCAGTCGAGGGACGTGAAGTGAGACAAAAGTTCTTCGTATTTATGAAGAGTTTATTATCTTTTTATGTGTATAAGTTTTCCACTGACTCATTCCCTGTTGTATTTAATACATTATATTACACTGAAATGTTACTGTTCCGTACGGAAAAATGGTGCGGAACAACTCACGAAAGTGAATGCCAAGCCAATCATGAAGGTTCATCAGGCAAGATGGAAGTGGACGCAATGCTCCAAATGTTTAGAAGATCCCAGGATGAGTACGGAATCAAATATAAATACTACATTGGAGATGGAGACTCCAAGACATATAAAACAATTTTGGAGAAGCAACCGTACGGCGAAGACTTTTTAATAATAAAAAAAGAATGCGTAGGACACGTACAAAAAAGAATGAGCACTCGACTGCGTAACGCGAAAAAAAATAATAAAGGTCTCGGTGGTCAAGGAAAATTGACCGATAAAGTTATTGGAGAATTATCCAAATATTATGGCAATGCCATAAGAAATAATAAAAACAATACTGAGGCAATGAAGAATGCAATTCTAGCAACTTTATACCACAAGTGTTCGACAGACGCCCACCCACAGCATCAGTTTTGTCCGGAAGGAACAGATAGCTGGTGTTCCTGGCAAAAGGCAAAATCTGATAAAAAATTAAATGATTATAAACATAAACGTGCACTTCCCGAAGATGTTTTTAAAGCCATATTACCAATTTATGGAGATCTAAGCAACGAAGATTTACTTACACGTTGCATCGGCGGATACACACAAAATGCAAACGAAAGTTATAATAACCTAATCTGGAAAATAGCTCCAAAAACAGGATTTAGCGGAACAGAAATTGTTGAGATAGCAACCTACTTATCAGTTTGTATATTTAATAATGGCTTAAAACCATTGTTATCATTTATGGCCCAACTGGACATTCAAGTTGGAGAGCGCGCAGAGGCAGCGTGCGCAGCAGAGGACGAACGGCGATCGCATGATGCTGAAGTCGACGCAAAAAGATCAAAAGAGAGCCGAATTAACAGAAGAATTGCTGAACAGCAACAGGCTGATACAGATGAAGCTTTAGAAACATCATATTACGCTGCTGGAAATTTTTAAGCGAAGTATGTAATACTTATTGTACTCAAAAGTCATTCGAAACTTTAAACGCGTTTTTCTCGAAATCATGTTTTCTCTTCATTTTGCAGTGATTGCGAAAAAACGGAGGTTCAAATCGATTTGAAAAAAATTGAGCAAATGTAAAACATGCCTAGTTAAAGACTATACCTATTTTTAAGTTCATAAAAAGTTTTGTTTTCACAAAAAAAAAATTTGCTGCATTTCTGAATAAAAAATTATGTTTTTTTAGTTTTACAGCTGCCATTTTTATAATCTTGATTTTGTTTCCTTTTCAATAGGTTCAGTGCAGAATGGGGACCCATAGAGAGAGAATTCCACAAAAAAAATTTTATAATTCCATAATTTACGGCCAGGATCACTGCAAAACCGGAGCGACTTCCGGAATAATGCGTACACATTGGACTACAGTAGCATTGTTATATACATGTATATGTTATTAAAAAAAATTTTTTTTACGCCTCATAGTACTAATAAGTAATATCTAAAAGTACAAGTTGCAATTTTAATTCCTATCCTTGTAATAAATTCCCAAAAAACGTTGCATTTTTACCAAATCTGACTACCTAGTCCCCTTAAACCTCGAATTTGAAAACCGATTTCAGGATTTTGAAAAACATCATGTGTTTTTTGTGCATTTGCAACGCCATTCGCGATAGACGTGAATTTATTACCAGGAAGATTACAAATGGAACATTGTGAAATGTGTTGTGATACACAGTTAAAGGAGAAATTCCATCAAGTTGGTTTGGAAGAATTCTATAAAACGCTATAAAAATAAAATAAAACGAGTTTCAAGCACCATCAAACCATTTCTTACAGAAAAGAATAAGAAAGGTCGCGTAGAATTTTGTCTGTCAAAAGTGTTCCTGACGGAAAGTTTATGGACTTTAAGGATTATATTCACATTGATGAAAAGTGGTTCTACTTGACACAATGCAAGCGATTTTATTATGTGCTTTTAGACGAAGAAACTCCACATAGAACGTGCAACAGTAAGAGATTTATATCAAAGGTTATGTTTATGGCAGCAGTAGCTCGTCCCAGATGGGATCCACACAAAAAATGCCTTTGTGATGGAAAAATTGGCATATGGCCATTCGTTACGCAAACGCCAGCCCAACGAAACAGTAAGAATCGAACAAAAGGAACACTTATTACAAAGCACATAGAATCTGTTACTAGTACAGAGATACGGAAAATGTTTTTTGAGAACATATTGCCTACAATTCGCAAAAAATGGCCAAGAGGATCAAGACATTGCCCTGTAAGA